AGAAGCAACACGAGCTTGAAGCCTGGCCCAGCAGCTGAGTCCAGCCAGGCCCCATCCTCCCTGATCCCAGGGACCCAGAGCCCAGCTCTCACACCGGGCCCAGCCCCGCTGGCTTACTTACCCCTTTGCCATAGGGATGTGTGAGCCAGCCAAGTTCTCCTTTTGCTGCCTCAAAATCCAACAGGACAACTGCAGGAGAGAGGGGAGGGAGCCGTGAGCACAGGGGCGTCTCCAGGGGAGAGAAAGACCATGGCAGAAAAGGGGAGAGGCCTCCCAGGAACCCAAAGGGGCCTTGACCTGAGAAGGGACAGGGCTGTGGAGGTCACACAGCAGGCCAGGGTCAGGACTGGGCCTCCTCTCTCCCAGGCCAGGGCTGCAAGCCCTGCTGTCCTCTCAGGCAGACAGGGACTCAACCCAGCTGGAGAGCAGCAGCTGGGCAGAGCCAGGGGTGGGCAGGGGTATTAAGTAACACCCGGCCAGCCCCTCTGCTTCCTTGAACAAGGCCCCCAGGCAGCACTTCACACACGTGGGCCTTGGGGACACTGGTGTCTGCTTCTATGACATCCTCCAGCATAAAATTCCCAGACCCAGCCCAGGCCACACAGCACACAGCACACACAAGCCCACATGCATGAACACACGTGTCTCCTGGCGCCCCAAGAGAGCACTGTTAACAGGTGGAAACTGCTCTGGGGGAGGGGAGGGGCTGGAAATGGATCTTCCCACCACAAAAGCCACAGTGCAGGCGGGGTAAAGCCCTGAACCCACAGGGGCCTCTAGGAGGGGCCCCAAGGTACACACAGCTGCTGAGGTCCCCGCCCTGGGAAAGTTGCTCCTGTTGCCACGGCGAGGAGTGCCAGAAGGAGAACCCTGGTGGGGGACTTCCAGGCCCAGAGGGACCAGGTGCCAGGGCCAGGCAGAGGGACCCACTGCCAGGGGCTTCCCTAGAGCCGGCCCTGCCCGGGAGCACCTCCCGGGAGCACCCCCTGGTTCTGCGCCAGAGTCAGTGGCTGAAGCCAAGACCCAAGTCACTGTCCCTTCTCTATTTCTAAATAAAGTCCAGGTAGTGTCACCAAGGGCCACCCTCAATAGAGGGCAAGGAGATTGGGGAAACTGAGGCTTAGAACCTATACAAGTGCCATGTACTGGAAGGTAAGGCCTAAGGTGGAAGGGAAGGGACCAAGGACACTTGCAGCGGGGAATCCTGAGGATCTGGCCTCCTCCAGCCCTGAGCCTGGGAGACCAGGCAGGCTGCAAGCCAGGTCACCTGTTTGGAAAGATGAGAGGTGAGTTGAACGCCTGGAGACCCTGAGGGCAGCTGAAAACCTCTTCCTTGGGCTGGGAGTAGCTTAGCAGTAAAGCACAGTGCAAGGCCCTGGGTTCTATCCCCAGAGGTAATGAAAGGATAACAATATAAAATTAAAAAGGCCACCAGGCATTGTGAGTGCACCTTGTAATTCCAGCCACTCAGGAGGCTGAGGCAGGAGGATGGCAAGTTTGAGCCAAGCCTGGGGAACTTAGTAAGATCCTGTCTCAAATTTTTGAAAAAAAAGAAGCTGAGGATATAGCTCAGTGGTAAAGCACCCCTGGATTCAATCCCCAATACCACAAAAAGTAATGATGTTATAATAAATAAATAGCAAGCCCTCCTCTGAGGTTAGCCTGCCCCCTCTGTCCTGCAGGCTGGAAGCTTGGTATGAGGCCCTGACACCCTGACCGCTGACCTTGTTCAAATCTCTCTAGGAAGGGTCCAGCAGTCCAGACAGGGAAGAGGAAATCCATGTGGCACCAAGCCCCATGGCACAGGCGGGGGCAGGGGGAGGGACAGGGATGTGTTCAGACATGTCCAGGGCCCAGGTTTGGAAAGTCAGTGACTCCACTAGCAAGTGGAATGTCCTAGCTATACATGAAGGAATCTGGGGGCTCCTGACTCCAACTGGGTAGGTAGGAAGACAAGGTGGGTGCTCCTGGGGCACACACACACACACACACACACACTCAGTGGGCAGGAACCTGCAGTCTGCACCCAGGGAGTGAGATCATGGCTCTGAAGGGTTAACCTGGCACAGAAGCCCCGCCCCTTCCAACCTGGGTCGGGCTCTAGAAGTATCTCAGGGATCAATCTGAGAAGAAAAGAAGCCTTCACCAGGAAGGAGCCTCCCCAGAGGCTTCCAGCCCCAGCCCCCTCCCAGGAAATTCCCTAGAACCAACCACCAGGAACAAGGGGAGCCCAGCCCATAGTTTGGAGCTGGCTGGGTTCCCTGAGCTCCCCCAGGCCATGAGCTGGGCTTCTAGTGGGGAGTCTAGGAGCTCTTTAGCCCCCGAGAGTTTCACTGAGAGGTTGGCCCAGTTGGGGCCTTACCCATTTATCCTCTATCCCCCCACTAACACCCCCGGAAGAACCGCCTTCCTCTACCTGAAGTTCCTCTGTCAATGCCACCCTGGGTCTATATTGCTTTACTTATTTTCCTACAAATGCAGTACTTAACACCCACTCCCCCATTGCCCTCTCCCTGCTCACCCCTAAAGCCAAGAAAGCAGGAGGCTAGGGTCCTGGAAGAAAAATAGGGAGGGAGTCAAAGGGTAGACAAAGAGCAGACAGGGCCCCAACAGAATTAAGAAGCCCAGGACTCCCCAGGCCCTAGGCATTGCTTGGCCCCCTTCCTATGGGCAACACTCCAGGTCAACAACCCTGGCCACCAGGATCCTGGGTTATGCTAGCTTTCCAGCAAAATCCACCAAGAGCAAGGTGAGAGATTCTTGCCCAGGTGCTGGGGTCTGACCCTCTGTGCAGAGGGCCCTGGTTGGCAAGCATCAGGCTTCCCTCAGTTTCCCCATCTGTAAAGGAGGGTTAACTCAATGGATGTGGAAGAGAGGACCTAGCAGGCTCCACCTGGGCCTCCAAATGCAAGGGTGGGGGCAAGAAAGAAAGAGAATCAGAGCAGCATGGGTGGACAGGCCCGGGGGGCCTCCTAGCTCTCTCCAAACCTCCCCAGGGCAGACACAGTGCATCCAGCGTGAATCCCAAATAAATGAATCCAGGGCTGGGGACCCAGCTTAATGGTAGAGCGCTTGCCTCACATGCACAAGGCCCTGGGTCCAATCCCCAGCACCAAAAAGAAAAAAAAGAAAGGAAACCAAAACCAGCAGCTGCCAGCTGGGTGTTGACCCCCCCCCCCGCTCCATCCCACATAGGCACAGCACCCCAGGAAGCTGCTCTCAGTCCCCCACCCCACAGTATGCTGTCCTTTCCCCTCCATCTTATGTGGGGTGGTAATGGGGCTCTGGGCTAGTGGCATAGGCAGGGAGAGACACATACAGAGGCAGAGGGCAAGGAAGGGAGTTCCAAGCTCCCCCAGGGGTGGCTGGGGGTTGGGGCCCAAAACAACAGTTTAATCCCCCCACCCGCTGGCAGCCTGGAGAGAGGCCGGTACTGATTCCAGCTGTCTCTCCCCTTCCCTCCAACCACAGTCCCCCTGGAAGGGGGAGGATCACAAGAGAGGGCGTATTGAGGGTCGCAGAAATCCCTGCCAAGCACTCCGCTAGAGCTCTGAGCTGCGACCAGAGTTCATGTCTGCCCTAGGGACTGGAACGGGATGTGACCCCCAAACACCCAACCACCGGCCCCCTAGAGCGCTGCTCGGTCCTCTTTATCCTCCCAACGTGGAAGAGCAGAACCTCCAGTTTGGAGGAGGAGCGACCGCAGGGCTCAAGGCAACTTCTCACCGGCCCAGGATTTCCTCCCGGGCTTCCCCTGGTGGAGCCTGTGGGAGCCGCGCTCAGCCTTGGCAGGCGAGGAAAACTTGTTTTCTCTGCTGGGAACGGCAGCCGATGGCGGCTGGGTGGACAGGAAGGCCCTCGGTCAAGGGCAGGAGCCCCCATCCTTTCAGCGACCCTAGCTGAGAGGCAACGCCCCCATCCACACACCTGCCCCGCCCAGGACAAAGTCTGCGGCCCCTCACCCAGCGCGGCTCACAAACGCTGGGGCGGAGGTGGGTGATTCAATCCCCCACCCCCGTGAGTCCAGGTTCCCTGGTGGCTCTGGGGTGACGGCTCCACACCTTGGGAGACCGCGCCCCCACCTGCCGCATTTCCTCGTTCTGAGTCACCCCTTACTCAGAACACTTGACTTTGGGACTTCCTGTCTTCTCTCCCAGCTCCCCTGACCTGTCCTGGAGTTCGGAGTGCGGTTTGGGAAAGGAGAGAAGGGCGTGCGTGGTAAGGAGTGACCCCAGCCTCTCCCCGGGCTCACTGCTGGGACTGGAGGCAAAATGGAGCATACAGAAAATCTCAAGAAGCAGGACCTACGGCTAGGGCCCCCCGGCCCCTGGAGGAGCCCCCTCCCCCCAAACCGGGCCTCCACAGATGCCCTCTCTGCAAAATCGGGACAAGTGACTTAAGTGAATTCAAGCCACTAAGAAGTTGATCCCACGGAAAGGCTCCCTAGACACCCGCTTCTCCATGGGACCCCCGCGCCCCCCCGCCGGGACGCGTTCCTGAAGCCGGTTGCAACCGCGTGGCCCGCACTGGCACTGCGTCCCTTTCTCCGAGGCCTCCAAGTCCCGCGCGCCGGAGCAGAAACCCCTTAGTCTCCATAGCCCCTATAATCCCGGTGAGGAGCCCCAGGCTCGTCCCGATCGCAGCTCGCGCGCCCTCCGGACGCCAGCGCGCCGAGACTGGGCAGCACCTGGTCGGTTTCCAAAGTTGTGCGCATTAGAGTACGCGCGGCTCCAGGAGGAGCAGGGGTCTAGGGGTCCCGGCGCCGGGCAGGGTCCGGCCTCACACGCTCACCTTCCTTGCCCTGAGCCGCCGCGGCCACCAACGCGCAGCCCCACAGCAGGGCGAGGCAGGCGCCGACTGTCCTGCGCTCCATGCTGCGCTCCTCGCTCCGGGACAGATCCCCGGCGCCCGGCTCCCGCACGCCCGCACGCGCGTACGCAGGCCTCGGAGTCCGGCTAGCGCCCGCCCGCTCACCCGCCGGTGCGCAACTTCTGCCCCTCCTGCCCTGAGTCCTTAATGGAAGTTGGGTGAGAACCCGCTCCTGTTCATTCATGCCCCGCGCTGACGTCACCCAAGCCACGCCCCCAGGAATGTCTTTAAAGGGGCCGGGCTGGCATCCCGAGGGGAGGGAGGGAAAGTCCAGAGGGGTTTGGGTAAGACTTTGGGGCCCTCTGGACTCACCGGCGCCCCCCAGGCGCTCCAGTGTTTGCGTGTCTCAAAGCATCAGCGCCCCCATGCGCTAGTCCCCAGGGATCTCGGAATCCAGGATGTTCGGCCCAAACGTGCGCTGAGCCATCCCCGCTCGTCCTTTGCCTTTTGTGACTGAACTCAACGTTGGCCTCAGTCTAGGCAGAAATGGGCCGGATGTCCAAGAAGTAGTTGCCTCCTTAGCATCAGTCCTGGGAGAGGAGGCCTGAAATAAACCGGATGCCTTCTATCTTGGGACCTCTAAAGGGTGCACCAGACCCTGGAAGGACAAGGAGAGTTCCTTTGTTCAGGAGCCTCTATGCTTACTGGGATCTAGGAGCAACCCTCTTCGGGGAACAGGTCAGACATGCCCTGATTTAATTCTCATCTAGGAAGCAGCCATCATTGTCCACACTTTTTTAGAAGAGGAAAACTCAGGCTACAGAGTTTGTACCCCATGCCCGAAGACTACATAACTCACAGGTAGTAGAAGCAAAGTTTGGATTTGGTGGCCTCCCCTTTAACCCCTGCTGCACTCTGGGAGGGTGGCTGAGCTTAACACCCTTCATTCCCTGACCCTGGCATGATAAAGTTGGTGTGTTCTGACACTTTGGAGGACACCTGCCTCCTGCCTGTCCCTTCCAGGGGCCTCTCCTCAAAGGTCCCTCAGACGTGAGTTCACAACCTCCCCTCTTGATGGAAGTGGCTGAGGAACAAATGGGAAATGTCCTCTCAACTGACTGCCCAGCCAGTGGCCACCCACCCAGCCGCCCCCAGATGCCTATTGCCTTGTCACCATTTGGCCAGTGTGAAAGGAACAGCTGCAGCTGGTCTGGTTTCCCAAGCTGCCCTCTGCTCGCCTCCTCTCTGACCCCAGCCTCTCCTCAACTCCCATGGACCAACAGCCATGCTGGGCTACTCAGGTACCCAGGTCCTCCTGCCAGATGTGGACAGCTTGGTCTTGGCCTCTGCCCTTGCAAAGCGGGTCTGGACATCTCCCCTGGAGGGGGAGAGGAAGGGTTAATTACAGGTGTTGGGATTAATTAAAGCCTTTGATCAAGATGATGAGAGGGGAGCCTTGGGCTTCCGAGAGTGTGTGTGTGAGTGTCCATGAGAGGAGCGATTGTGTTTGAGTGTGGATGTGTATAGGTGTAAGTACTGATATGTGTGTGTGTGTGTGTAGACGTGTTGGTGTGTATGCATTTGTAAGCGTAGACGCAAGTGTTGATTTATAAGTGTGTGTGAGAGTATGTGGTCATGAGAGGAAATGTATGTGTGTGTGAGTGTGTAAAGTTGTGTTTGACTGCGGGTGTGCATGTGGATATGGGTGCTGATGTACGTATCGTGTGAGAGGGTTTGTTCTAAATGTGTTGTGTGAGTGTGTCATGCACACAATGATTGAGTACTCAGGCTTGGAAAGGCTATCTCTGCTCTCTGAGCCTCAGTCTGCTCTTTGGGAAGCCTATCTGGGAGAGTGACTGTGAAGATCAGATAAGGTCATGTGTGTAAGCCACACAGGCGGGATGTCAGAAAGCGCCAGTTCAATCTCAGCCGTCATTACTGATACATGTGGTTCAGCAAAAGGAAGTCCCATCTGGAGAGGGTGGTTCATGCGATGTGCACAGGGTACGTGCACGGGCACGTGCGTGTGCGTAATATGTGTGGTATGGTGAGTGTTCTGCATGTTTACTGGGCTGGGGACACTGGCTTATGGAAGACTTCATAGGAGTTGTTTGTAAGATCCTGCTTGTATGGGCTGGGGTTATAGCTCAGAGGTAGAGCAATCACCTAGCATGTGTGAGGCACTGGGTTCGATCCCCAACACCACATTAAAAAAAAAAAAGACCCTGCTTGTACATGTGTTACATGCCATTTGCAGGTTCTATGTGTTGGATGTGTCCAGCCCCCCAAAGCCTGGACCCACCCATGCTGGTGTCAGGCAGGTCCCCATGGCTGTGGCTTGTGTGCCCAGCAGTATGTGTTGGTACTGAATGGTGCTCACTTAACAGCCTGTGACATGAGCCTGTGGGAAGGAAGATATGTGAGGTGGCAGGAGGGTGTGGGGTGGGGGAAGCTCCCTGGCCCTTAGTCACCCACTTGTTAACTCAGCCTTCTTCTTTTCCTGTCCCAAGTCAGTCTCTGGCTCTGGGTGACTGGATGCTAAGGAGGAAAGTTCTCCAGTGAGTCTTATAAAGCGGCATGGAAATGTGGTATTTACTGTGACATAATCAGCTCTAATGGAGATGGAATTACCTATAAAGGCCCCGAAGAGCCCTCAGGGCCTAAGAGCCACTGCAGCGGGCAAAGCTTTGCTACAGGCAGGTAGAATCTGAGCGTATGTATGTGCGAAAGAGAGAGACAGAGAAGGAGAGGAGAGTGCCTGCCTCATCTGCCCCTGCAGGTGCTCACCTCTGCTAGGACTTGGCTGGGCACAAACAGATTAGCAGGCTGAGCGCTGGAGCCTTGGTTTCACCCACCCCACCTTTGATCTGCGCCTGCCTTTGGCCAAGAGCCAGACACTATCAGAAAAGATGACTGCAGCCAAAACTTATAAAGTGCTTACTGCGCAGCAGGCCTGGTTCTCAGCACTTCTCCCACACTGAACCCCTTGGTTCTCATTACCCCTAAGAGGTGGGCACTGTTACTGTATCGGTTTTGCCAAGAAGCAACCTTGCTGGTGAAAGTTGTAGCTGGGATTCTAGTCTGGATCCAGCACACACCCTTGTGAGCATCTCTTTTGTCCACTGTCTCTGAATTCTACAGAACCCAAATGGCCGCCCCCTGCCCACTCTACAGTCTAGGGATCACCTCTTCAGAGAAACCCCAGGGATCATGCCTGCCCCTGAGCCACAGGCTGCATGCCAGTCAGGACTCTAGTCTCAGCCAAGTGAATTTTTCTTTGCCTTCTCGAGCCTCTGAACTGAACGTTATCCCTGACTCAACTGTGAAGATCCCTGGAGGCAGGGGATGAATCTCCCAGCCCTCTGCATTCCTGGCACTAGTCAGAATAGTGCCTCACTGGGTAGATGCTCACCTTCGATGATGACATTTTGAATCAGTTTCCTCCACTTACTTCAATCCATGTTTCTCAAAGGTCTGCTGTATGCCAAGCCACTCCATCTATGGGAACTCATTTAATCCTCCCAGCAGCCCTAGAGGAAAACCTAATATTGACCCCATTTTGGAAAAAGTGGGGCTCAGAGAAGAGAACCAACTCACTTGAAGTTACATGACTCGTACACCACAGAGATGGCACTAGAGGGTTAAGTGTGTCTTGCCCCAGAGCCAGGTCTGCCTGCTCCTTTTGAACACATCATGTGCTTTCATGCTTGAATGCCATTGTCCAAGCTGTACCCTCTCCCTGGATCCTCTTTCCATCTGAGCAGCTCCCACTCATTCTTCCTGACCTGCTTTGGTGGAGCACAGGAGGATGGAGCCCCATAGTGTAGGAGAGTGTCTGGTCTATATTGTGCACCCAAGATAGTCTTGGCAAGTGGACGGATGGGTGGAGGGTCCAGCAGACCTGAATTCTACCATGTAACCAATTGTGTGACCTCAGCTGCATAGTCTGTAAAATGGGCAAGATAAAAATGGTTTCCACCCTCCAGGGATGCTGCTAGGATTACAGGAGATCATGTATCTAATGCGCTTAGTTAGCACAGTGTCTGGCACTCAGTGATTGCATTAAATCTTAGCTATTGCTGCTTTTACAATCAAAAGTCACTTCTGAAAAGCCAACTGGGCTCCCTGGGGCCAAATAAATAGCTTCATCCTGCAACAAATTCTGCTCCCATAGTATCTTATAACTCCCTCCCCTTCAGGCAGGGAGCTCCTGGAGGAACAGAGGCTCCCTTTCCTCCATCTTGCCAGCCCCAGTGGTGCCTAACACACGGTTAGGTGCTCAGCAAACGTTTGCAGTTTGCGCGCGCACGCGGCGACTTTTGTGTTCAAAAGAACACATTCCGCAATTGCAGCAGCAAAATTCTGTCGCTGCAGCCAACACTTGGGAAGTGCTCACAACGGTTCTGCGCTGAACCCCTTTTCTCATTACCCCCGCAAGAGGTGGGCACTGGTTGCTCCACTTTCCAGGTGAGGTTTTGCTGAATAAAAGCTTTGCTCAGCACCGTGGGGTCCCCACTCCCAGAGATGAGGCGGTATGAGGTGAGGATGCAGGGAACTTTAAATGTTCCAGGATTGGGGGGGCGCGGGAGGAAACCCCTCGGTAATTGCGGGGCTTCCCCCACCCCTGCGCTGGATTAGAGGCTCCGCCGCTTCCTCTGAGGCTCGCTAGCGCTTCCTGGGCCCCTTTGAAGTGGGTTCTGGGCAAATCCTGCCCGCGGGGCCCGAGTGGGCGGGGCCTCCGGGAGGGGCGGGGCCTCCGCCGGACCCGCAGCCAGGCACCACCCCCAGGGTCTCGGGGGCGCCGGCTGCCCACCTCTTGATGGGCACTTATCTTTTTTGTAGTCGTAGGTGGACAGAATGCCCTTATTTGTTTGTTTTTACGTGGTATTGGACCGAACCCAGTGCCTCACACATGCTAGGTGAGCGCTCCGCCGCGGAGCTACAGCCCCAGCCCCCGCCGGGCTTCTTAGTCCCCTCCTCCAGTCCAGGCTCCTGGCCAGCGCCCCTCATTCCGCTCGGCCTTCCTTTCCCCATCCAGCCACATCCCCCTCCCCTTCCAACTCAGCTTAGGCTTCCACTCCCTCCCTGTCCACCCGGACCCCAGGCCTTTCCCCAGCCTCTGAGTGTCTGGTCTGCAGCCAGGTGTTTTAAAAAAATCAGAGCAAAAGCAGTGGCCACTTGTTGAGCCTGACTAGGTGCCAGGCTCTGGGCCCAGGGTACTTCAGCCTCACCTCATCCATGCGCACAAGTGCTGGGGGTGGGAGGACGACTCTGCCCCCATTTGAACTACTGATGCAACCACTGAAGTTCTGAGAAGTTGGGAGCTCAAGGTCAGGAAACTGAAAGGGCAAAAGTGTCTTCAAGGGGCTGGGGATGTGGCTCAAGCAGTAATGCGCTCCCCTGGCATGCGTGGGGTGCTGGGTTCGATCCTCAGTACCACATACAAATAAAATAAAGGTGTTGTGTCCACCGAAAAACTAAAAATAAATATTTAAAAAAAAGAAAAAGAAAAAAAAAGTGTCTTCAAAATCTGGTTTTGGGGACTGGGGTTGTGGCTCAGAGGAAGAGTGCTCGCCTAGGTTGCGTGAGTGAGACCCTGGGTTCAATCCACAGCACCACATAAATGTAAAATAAAGGTATTGTGTCCACCTACAACTACAAAATAAATGTTTAAAAAAACAAAACAACAACAACAACAAAAAACCAAAAAAAACAGGGCCAGGGATATAGCTTAGTTGGTAGAGCGCTTGCCTCACATGCACAATGCCCTGGGTTCAATCCCTGGCCCCCAAAATAAATAAATAAACAAACAGCCACTGGGCAGACTCCTATAATCCCAGTGGCTGGGGAGGCTGAGACAGGAGGATCTAGGGTTCAAAACCAGCCTCAGCAACAACAGCAAGGTGCTAAGCAACCAAGTGAGACCCTGACTCTAAATAAAATACAAAGTAGGGCTGGGGATGTGGCTCAGTGGTCAACTGCTCCTGAGTATTCAATTCCACCCCCCCCCAAAAAAAAAATACACCTGGCTCTGAAGTCGATTGGATTCTCCATGCCTCACCTCCACCTGACCATATTCAGAACCTTAGGAGATGAAGTGAATCCAAGTTCTGGAGAAGGGATTTGCTGGAGGTGAAAGAGCTAATGTGAACACTAGAAACCTGGCTTCTGTTCCGCTCACCTTCTCAGTTATTTATTTCTCTGTCCCCACTGCAGCCCTTAAAGGCTGTCAGCTCTCTGGAAGGTGCTTCCCCACAATCTTGGGAATAAGGAAATTTGTAACACAGAAATAGAGCAATCCTGACCCCCCCTCACCTCTTGCAATGACTGTCTCTCTGCCTTTACCCTGCCTTCACCCCCACCCCAAGGGGGAGGGCTGACTCCCTCTCCTCTTTCAGAGCCCTGTTAGAGGTTTAGCCCATCTGTGACACTTTTCCTGCCCA